TGCGGAAGAGCTGTGCTCCCTGCTCGGCCAGGTCTTCCAGATCGTTTACACGGAGTCCACCATTGACTTTCTGGACAGAGCAATCTTCGATGGCGCCTCCACGCCTACCCACCACCTGTCCCTGCATAGCGGTACGTGAGCAGTGGGAGAGGGCTGCTCTGGACTGAGGCCCTTCCTGGACCCCAGGGTTCCATGTGGTGTGCTCAGGCACCTGCCTGAGGCCGAGGCAGGGGGCAGGGAAGTAATATCAAGGGAACATGTGCCTCTGAGTGGGCACCAAGCTGGGCACGGAGCAGCGCAGCTGCCTCATGGACATGCTTGTGGGCACCAGGTCTGCGGGACCTGTCGTCCTCCCAGCTTCTGTTCCTTGAGTCCCGATGGTTTACACACATTGGGGGCCAGAAAGGCAGAGGGGCATGGAAGCTTCAGCCCGAAGCTCTGAGTGTGGACAACAGCCTTGCCTGCCCCTCCCTGGCAGATCGCGGGTGGCCCAGGCTGGGACAGGCGTGTGGCCTGGGACAGCGGCTCTGTGCCACCTGGAGCTCCGCTGGCCCCCGTGGGCCCCCCTGCTTCCCAGGTTATAGCTGAGCCTTCCCCTGCCCAGAGATGCAGGAACACCCCTCGCCCTGTGTCGCAGATGGGGAAGTTGAGGCACCGGGGTCAGCAGTGTGTCTGGCAGGACCATTTCAGCCTGACCACTTGGCCATTAACAGATGCTGCAAAATCACACTGGGTTTGTTTTCTTTCCCTGCTACTGGGGGATTGAACCCAAGGCCTTCGCCTAAGCTCCATCCTCTCGCCATGCCCTGTCTCTCACCTCTGCCTGTGGTGTCAGGCTGTCCCTGTCCTCGGGTCCCGAACAGCACCTGCAGTCTCGGTCACACGGACAAAGGCACCATTACTTGGCCTCCCCCAGCCGCGGCTCTGTGCCAGGCCCTTTCTGGGACCCACAAGCTCGGCTGTGTCCAGGCGGGGATCAGATGACCCATCCTGTGATGGGGACAGAGCCTGTCTGGTTTGGATTTGTGCACACTCGACACTGCGAGGGTGGCTGAGGATGAGACCCATGAGGGCTCAGGCTGGGAGCCCGTGCTTGGCACACAGCACCTTCAGGACCCGGCTGGCTCCAGGATGAGGGATTTGGGGGGTCCCCAAAGGCCAGGACAGCTAGCGCCAGGGCCGGCTGTGTCCCGAGTGCTCATCCTGGCCATGTGGGGCAGCGGCCCCGGCCTGAGAGTCGCCTTTGTCTCCCTCATCTTCCCTACAGATGACTCTTCCACCAAAGTTGACCTGAAGGAGGCCTACGACACTGAGGCCAGCACCTTGTGAGTGCTCGTGCATGTCTGCCACCTGCCCCGGGTCCCTGCCCTGGCCACGTCCCCATCTCTGGCCCGGCTGCTGCTCGTGGCCTCTGGAGTGGCCCTGTACACGGCCTTTTGGGTGGTGGTGTCCTGCAGCCTCCCCGTGGGAGCTCATCCCACGCTCCCCTGCCCTGTCCCCCCCGTATCCCTGCCATGTCCCCTGCGCTCTGGGCGCCACAGCAGGCCGTGGACCCTTGTCACACCCTCAGGGGCCCCAGGAGCAGGTGGGGATCCAGGGCGGGGTCGGGCACCCAGGTGGGACGCAGCTGGGAGCCGCTGCCGCTGCCCACGCACCCCGTGCCTTACAGCTGCTTCCCCGACTGCGCGGACGCCGGCGGGCTGCCACCGCTGTCCTGCATGCAGGCGTCGCCCCACGGCAAGACGGTGAGCGAAAGTGAGCTGAGCGCCAGTGCGGCTGAGCTGCTGCAGGACTACATGCTCACGGTACCGGCCTGGGCCTGGGGTGCAGGGTCTGCGGTGCCCAGCTGCCCGCTGCCCCCTGGGCTTCAGCTGGTGCCCCTCTGCCCTGCTGTCTGCAGCTGCGCACCAAGCTGTCCTCGCAGGAGATCCAGCAGTTCGCGGCGCTGTTGCACGAATACCGTACCGGCGCCTCCATCCATGAGTTCTGCATCAGCCTGCGGCAGCTCTACGGGGACAGCCGCAAGTTCCTGCTGCTCGGTGGGGGCCCGGTGGGGTTGTGGGGTTGTGGGGTGGGGGCTCGGGGCTTCCGCCAGGCTCAGGAGAAGGTGCTGCAGAGGAGCCAGGGGCCCTTCAGGGAGGTGACACTGAGTGTGTAGGAATTTGCTGGGGGAAGAGGCAGGGAGACCTGTCCCAGGTGGCAGGACTGGCCTTTGCCAAGACCCTCGAGGAGCTCAGTGCCTTAGGTCAATGGCTGGCAACACCCGGGGCTGGAACCTGCAGTGCTGCCCCTCAGGGGACATCGCCCCTGCTGTGGTTTCTCCTCTGCCAGTGCTGAGCACAGCGAATTGGCAGAAGCTCCTGAGGCCTCCTGGGTCCGGGCCTGTACCCTGAACCACGGGAGGTGGGTTTATCCCCCCCACGGCCTTTTTGGTTTGTTTTGAGGTAGTAGGGATTAAACCCAGGGCCTTTGCACCGAGCTGCGTCCCCAGCCCTTTTAATTTTGAGACAGGGTCTTTCTGAGTTACCCAGGCTGGACTGGAACTTGTGAGCCTCCTGCCTCAGCTTCCCAGAGTGCTGGGGTCACAGGCCTGCACCACCTCGCCTGGCTTGTTTCCCCGTTCATGGGCCTGGCAGGTGTCAGCCACCTCCCCAAGGCCCCACTCCTGGCGGGATGAAGAGGAATAGGCTCCCTGCTCTGTCCCTTTCAGGAGACTGCCTCAGAGGCCACGGCCAGCGGCTTCCTGTCCGGCTCTCCAGCAGGGTCACTTTTGAGGAGTGGGCAGCAGAGGGCTGAGCCATGGCCTCGCTGGCCCTGCTGGCTGCCCCAGCAGGCTCTGCCTTCCCTCGGAGCCCAGGCTCTGGGGGTGGGGCCTGGCCACTCCCCACTCGTACTCTATGCCTGGGATCGGGCCCAACCTGGCCGTCTGCTTGCTGTGGGGTTCAGAGGTCCCGAGAGACCCTGGGCCTCCAGATTGCGGGTGGTCACCCTGGGCCGGGCCGTAGCTTTGGCATGAGGCCTGGCTGGGGATGGCAGCTCATAGCCAAGGCCACCAGTGGGTTCCAGGACTTCCTTGTCTGTAAGATGGGGACTGTGAGGACTGATGAGCAGAGGTCACCTTTGGTGACAGCAAGCTGTCGGGGCTAGGGTCTTTGGGCATGGCTGTGCGCTGTCTGGGTCCTCAGCCGGGTCCGTGTTGCAGGTCTGAGGCCCTTCATCCCTGAGAAGGACAGCCAGCACTTCGAGAATTTCCTGGAGACCATCGGCGTGAAGGACGGCCGCGGCATCATCACTGACAGCTTCGGGAGGCACCGCCGGGCGCAGAGTGTCGCCTCCACCTCCACCGCCAATGGGAGCAGGGCCGCGGGCAGCCCCGACGACCACTCAGGGCCCTCTGAGGGGGACGAGTGGGACCGCATGATCTCGGACATCAGCAGTGACATCGAGGCGCTGGGCTGCAGCATGGACCAGGACTCAGCGTGACAGGCAGTGGCGGGAGCACCCCACCCTCCGCCAGGCCTTCCCTCAAGGAGGCACCAGCCCCCTGCGGGCCTTTGCGGCAGCACAGGTGGCCAGCGGCCGGTCCTCTACTGTGAAGGGGCGTGGGGCCTCCGCAGGACCCATTGGGTGCAGGGCAGAGGCTCCACACTTGTCCTGGGCTCTAGCAGGCCCTGCACCAGCCCCACAGGGGAGGCCAGGCCCAGCCTCACCAGCAGGAGAGCCAGGCCTGTGGGCGGGCCAGACATCTGTCACTTTTGCACACAACGTTCCTCATGTAACTCTCAGAGAACTTAAAGAAGTTTACTGCAATGTGAATAATTTAATCTCCCGTTGCCGGGCTTTTTCTGACCTGCCTGGAAGAAAGCTGTGTTACCACGAGGGTCGTCCACTCTGGCCTCTGTCCCTCAGGCCACCCGTCTTCCTGTGTCCTGGGAGGGTGCCGAGGCTCGCGGCTGTGGCTCTTGTGGACCCAGGGCGAGTGTTCTGGGTCTCAGGGTCACAGGCCAGTGGCTGGGGGTGACGCGAAAGCCTTGATCTTTGTCCCGTGCATGGATTCCCATGGGGACCCTGGCTTGCTGTGGTCCTGCCCAGCCCTGCTGGTGACAGATGCCCCCCTGTGAGGCCTTGGTCTCGGCCCAGGGTCGGGGCTTCCGAGAAGCTGATGTGGGCCACACCTCCATCCTTGGCCCTGGCCCCGTCCTGATCCCTAGTCAGCTCCTCCCGAGCCCTGCTGGCCTCCGTGTGGCCTCTGTCCTCTGGGCCCTTTCTGACCTTCTGTGGGACATGGGGAGAGGACCTGGGTCAGGACACTGGGCTCTGCTGAGACACGAGGCGCAGCCAGGAGCTCCCCTCCTGCCCATGCTGGGGGCTGTGTCTGCTGGGGAGAGGGCTGCCCTGGACACTGCCTGTCCCAGCCAGCCCAGAGGTCCCTGAGCAAGGTGGGCAGGTCCGTGTGGTGTCAGCCCAGCATGGAGCCTGGGCCAGGTCTTCTGTTTGCTTTTTGAGATAGGGTCTGGCTGTGCAGTTCAGGCTCGCCTTGCACTTGGACTGGGTTTTACAGAGATTTCTGTTGTGCTCCCTTGTGTTGGAGCTACCCCTAGTCCCTGGGGGCCTCAGGATTGGCAAAGACAAATCACAGACTCATCCCTGGGTCCTGCCCAGTGGGTCCCAGTGCCACACAGGTGGAGCATGGCCTCAGCGCCATCTGTAGTCACAGGGGCCACAGGCCTGATGCCACAGCATGGCCCAGATGGCTCAGAGCTCACCAGCTGCCATCAGGGAGGCGAGAGGATGTGGGGCAGATGGGCCCTTGGCCCTGACCGAGCCTGAGGGGACAGCAGAGGATGGTGAGGGGACGTAGGACTGACAAAGGGATGCCAGATGGTGAGGGGACACCAGAGGGCAATGAGAGGACGTCAGGGTGACGAGGGGACACCAGAGGGTGCAGGGGCACCGAGGTTTCCAGGGCACACTGGGGACAGTGAGGTGACACCATGGAGTCCGGACAGCGATTTATTGGGTGGCAGCGCCCCTGGGGAGGGCGGGGTGGAGCTGGCTCAGGCGGCAGCTACATTGTCAGCTCCTGCAGAGAGAGGTGGTGGCCAGGGTCACCCGGGGCACCTCCCCAGTGCAGCCCACAGCGGCACCTTGGGGCCGCTGGGACATCGGGAAGCCGGAGGGGCCCGCGCTTCTCACCATGATGGCGTTGACAATGTCGCTGTGGTTGTCCCTCAGAGCCCGCACGGCCTTGGCCCTGGACACACTGGCCTGTGCCATCACCAGCTCGATGTCACGCAGCTCCAGGCCCGACTCATCCACCTGCTGGGGATCGGCGACGTCACGGGGGCCCGAGGCAGCCCCTACCCTGCGGGCTTCTGGGACCCTGGGCCTCACCTCTTCCTCCTCCTCCTCGAACTCTGGCCTCAGCCGGGGTCGGGATGCCACCTCGGGGACCAGGGCCAAGGACTCTGAGGGCACCCTGAACTTCTCTGCTGCGGCTTTGTGCACTTGTTGGGACAGGTCCTCGATCTGCGGCATGGGAGCTGCGTCAGCAGAGCCTGCGTGCGCCCCAACCCCCACCGCACCCCAACCCCCGCTGCGGCACAGACCTTGGCCTCGCCGAAGACCACATAGGTGTCAGAGGCCGGGCTTTTGAAGACGTCGGGCTTGGCGATGACAAAGAGGATGTTCTTGGACTTCTGGATGGTGATCCTCGTCACGCCTTGAATCTGCCGCAGGCCCAGCTTCGACATGGCCTGAGACAGAGGGCCCAGGTCGGGCAGGGGACAGGTGCTGCTGCCAATGTCCCCATGACCCTGGACACCTGTGACCCTGGTCTCAGCTGTTTAGGGGAAGGGGTGCAGGTTCCCAGATGGTCCCAGAGTCCCCTTTCAGATAGGATTTCATTAGCACGGGTGAGGGTCTTCATGGGGACATCCCTGTCCCACGTTCCCAGTCCTGGGGTCCCCGTGGGGCTCCCCTTACCTTCCGAGCCTTCTTCTCACTGCGGCTCTGCTTGGCTTTGGCGATGGTCTCCTCACTGCTGCCCGTTGGGGGCTGTGGGAGAGGGGCTCTGAGTTCCTGTGGGGCTGCAGGGCCACCTGAGGCCACCCCCCACCCCCCGCCCTGTCACCTGGGCTGGGCACTTTGCGTGAGGGGCCGAGAGGTCCTGCTCGTCAGGCTCGGCTGATGACTCCCCGTGGCTGTCCGAGTGCTGGCCAGAGCCTGGGGCCCTTGGGAAATCTGGGGAGGGACAGGTGTGAGACACACTGGGGCCGGTCACCCGCCCGGGATGGTAGTGCCCCGCAAGAACTCACCTTCCTCCAGGCTGTCCTCGTCCTTTTGTTGCTCTGGGGCTGGGAGCCCTTGAGGACCACGTGGGCCCCGGGGCCCCAAGGGAGGAGGCACTTGGCAGGGGGTTGAGATCCTCGAGGCTGGCTCTTTGCTATCTGCGGAAGCCGCCTTGGGGCTGAGGGGGGGTTGGGGTGCCAGGCTGACATGATGCTTGGCTCCCCGAGGCTGTGTGGTTCCTGAGGCAGCGGCGGCCCGCTGGGTTCCCAGTCGAAGCAGTGGAGGACCCCGAGAGGCTGGGGGCTCCTCACCCTCCATGAAGTCTTCCTGGGGGTCCTGGTGTCGGCAAGGGGCACCAGGAGCAGAGGGGTTGGGGTCCAGGAGCCTGCTGCGGGATACGCTGGGTGGGCCCTGGGCCGGGGTTCTGGGGAGTGGTGGTGGGGATGGGCTGAGACTTGGGGTGGCCGGGGGCTGCTGGCCACTGCCCAGTGTAGGCTCCAGCCGTAGGGAGGGTGGTGCCGATGGGGCAGGCTCCTTGGGGCTGTCCCCGTCCAGCCTGGACATAGCCCTGACTGGGGACCCTGGACAGGAGCCTTGCTGGGCCTCTGCAGCCCAAACTGCAGGGAGCCTGGGCCCTGGGGTGGCCGTGCTGCCCAGAGCCCTGCCCTCTCTGGCTGGGCTCAGGGGCAACACCTGGCTGGCCTCGGGGCAGGTGGCACGAAGGGCCTTGGGAGCTCCCCTTGCACCTCGGGGTGCTGACCTAGGTCCATGTCCCTGTGTCAGTGGCTTGGGACCCCTAGCCCTCTGATTCTTCGGCCCCTGGGCCTCCCCTGGATGCAAGCAGGTCTCAGCCCCATTGCCTTTGGGCACCTGGGCTTCTACACATGCTTCCTGCTCCGCAGTAGGCGGGCCTGAGGCTCCTTTCTCCCTGGGACCAAGGGCAGCCTTAGGGGGGGTGGGGGCCTCCACGCCCAGGGCGGGCCCTGACTGTTCTCCCAGGGACCCAGGCATCACAGCCTCTGCCACTGGCTTGGGACCATCCTGTGGGGCCTGGTTCAGGGCCTCAGGCTCTGGGTCACCAGGGAACACTGCAGCCCATTCCTTGAGCACAGGGCTCCGTCGTAAGGCCACACCTATTTTCTGTTGGGCCACAGAGGCCAGGGCCTTGGTCCCTTGGGTGTAGCCTACTTCAGCCTTCTGGGCCCCTGGTGTGGCCACAGCCACTGTCTCCAGGCCTGCGGTGGAATGTTCGTCTTGCAGAGCCGGAGGAGAAGATTCAGGAGGGTCCTGGTGGAACGAGATGCCCTGTTTAGCCTGCAGGGGGCCTGACCTGGCTACAGCCATGACCTCTGGGCCCAAGGTGGGATTTTCGTCTTCCAGGGGTGGAAGCGCAGCCGCAGTGCAGTCCTGGGGTAAGCAGACGCCCCCTTCATCCTCGTGGGACCCTGGCGCGGTCTCAGCCACGGCTTCTGGGCCTGAGGTGGGACCTTCGTCTTGCAGAGATGGAGAAGGCTTGGGAACATCCTGGGATAACAGGGTGCCACCTCCAGCCTGCAGGGGCCCTGGTGTGGCTGTCGCCATGGACTCTGGGCCTGAGGTGGGACCTTCATCTTGCAGAGATGGAGGTGAAGGCTTGGGAGTGTCCTGGAGTAATGAGATACCACTTTCCGCCTTCTGGGATTCCAGCATGGCTGCAGCCACACACTCCTGTCCCACGGTGGGATCTTTATCCAGCAGGAGTGGAAGTGCAGGCTCAGGAGCGTCCTGGGGTAAGGGTACACCACCTTCAACCTGCAGGGGCCTCACCATGGCCACAGCCATGGACTCCTGTCCCGAGGTGGGATCTTTATCCAACAGGGGCGGGAGCTCTGTCTCAGGAGAGTCCTGGGGTAACAGGACGGCCCCTTCAGCCTCCTGAGACTCTAGCATGGCTACAGCTGCACACTCTGGGCCTGAGGTGGGATTTTTATCCAACAGGCGTGGAAGTGCAGACTGAGAAGAGCCCTGGGGTAACAAGACACCCCCTTCAGCCTCCTGAGACTCCAAAATGGCTGCAGCCACAGACTCTAGGCCTAAGATGGGATCTTTATCCAGCAGGGGTGGAAGTGCAG